GTAACGCGCTCTCTGCAGCCGCTGACAAACACAGGCGCTCCGTAAGTGGTCTTCACTACCATGGCACCGCCGCCCACGCCTCCTCTCGGGGCGAGAGCCCGGGATAGTGCCTGACCCGCGGTCGGCGTTCGACAAAAGTGAATTCCCTCTCCTGTCTCTGCCGCCGCCAGCTCCCGGGGGACCCAGGCATTCCAGCCTCCAGCCGGCCCCCCATGCCAGCACTCACAAAGGGCCCCATTCATGCCCTGCGCACAAAGCGACCTATTCACCCGGTCCCAGTGGGCCTTCTGCTCCTGCCCGCCCCCCTGCGCCTCTCCATTGGTCACTTCTGCTGCCCATCAGGCCTCGAGGCCCACCCACCACCGCTCATCCTGCCTCCGCTGTCCGGCCAGGTTCTTTTCCCACGGCTGGCACCCTTCGGCAACTTCTGATTGGCCTAGCATACCAGCCTCTCTTCTCGATTGGCTGTCCCTGCTCCTGTGGGCGGGGCCGAAGCTTGCCGCAGCACACATCGATTGGTCCCTGCTGCGCCTGTGGGGGCGGGGCCGTAGCACGGGCCCGTCCCTCTTTCTCCCCAGGCCGAAGCCTGAGGACGGCCCTGGACGCCGGTGAGTGCCCGGCACCGGCAGCCCGCCAGGGGCCGCGGAGCCAGACTGGGCCCGGTCCCTCGGTCCTGGCACGGGCGACGGGAGAGGGGCAGTGAGATGGACACTCACCTTGGGCGCGCAGCGGGAGGGCGTGGGGGGGCCGGGGGGGCCACGAGCTTCCCACCCCGAGTTCCCACTGCGTGAGAGGCCGGGTCGGGGTCCCCGCTGACGTCACCGGGCCTGTTCCGCAGGAAGGGAAACTGAGGCTGTCTTTGGGACTTTAGGCAGTTTAATACCTGAGTCATGGCCTGCAGGTCCCCGCCCCCAGGGTGGTAATGTGTCCGTTCTCCCGGGTGAGAACCGCGGGTCAGGAGGGGTCGAGACCGGCAGAGACAGAGGGGCTGGGGGTGTATTTGAACACCTATGACGTGCTTGGAAGCTTTTTTTTTTCCCCCCTCTTGGTTTTTTTGAGACAGGTTCTCACTACGTAACCCAGGCTGCCCTTGAACTTTCAGTGATCCTCCTGCCTCAGCCTCCCGAGTGCTGGGATTACAAGGGTGCACCAGCATGTCCAGCATCAATGCTTTTATTTTTCTAACTAAAATCATTTCCTTCCACTGTTCGATGAAGTTGAATTGGGTTCTATGTTACCCATTTTACAGGGTCAGACCGGACGAGGCAGGGGCGGTGGCAGCATGGGAATATAACACAGGGGGACCAAGCCCTTGCTGTCCCCTCTCCTTCTTAGGCCCAGGGCGGCGTAAACTGAGGCGCTGGGTCGCAGCTGCCAGCCGGCGGGAGGAAGGTGACGTTCTGGGGATTTAACGACACGTTGTCCCCAAGCCCGGTTGTTTAGGGTGGCAAGCAACGGTCCGGGCTTGAGACCTAGCTCGCCCTCTTTCTGCGTGGCCATGAGCACATTTTTTGTCTTTTCCGGGGCTCAGTTTCCCATCAGAGAAATGCAGGTTCCGATCACCCCTGGCGCCTAGAGTTTCGCTCTCATTTCACCCATGAGGCTGAAAGCAGTGTCCAGAAAGACTTTCTGTCATCCCTGGTACTGTGTGGATTGTGTAGCCCTCTTTCAGGGCTGGGGAAACTGAGGCTCCAAAAGAATAAATAAATGATCAAGCCCTGGACCAGACCCCTTCTTCACATTGGTTTATTAATTTCCTGGGCCGCTGTTCCCAGCGGGGATTCGGACCGGGGGCATCCTCGGCCCTGTGCGCCGCGGGCCCGACCTGAGCCCGTGGAGGAGGAGGAGCCCC